GAGGGCTATCGGGACTCCATGCTTTCAGTAACCGATTCTGGTTACTGAAAGCATAGAGTCCCGGCTTTGCCGCCGTAACCGATGGCGGAACCAAAGTTTTAGAGAAACGAAAACCGAACGAACAGGAGCGAAATATGACCATGGTAATAGTTAAAGGAGCACTGACATCAAATTTACTCATGCCAAGATTTTTGCGTGAGCGAGTAGCTATAGACACCGTAGCAACGATTCGCGACCTAAAATACAACTGAGTGGTGAATAACTATCTCTTTTATTGATTTATATTACTGGGATCTATCACTATTCAAAAACGTACAGCAATCCCGCCATTTTTAGCGCTGGGAGCACCGGCAGTGGCGCTACCTCGCGGTTACCTTCAGATCACGCCACAGCTGACCACTTCTCCACAGAAAAGAGTGACGTCAGGCTCAGCTGCTCCACAAACATTTCGTCTGCTAGGCGGACACATTCAGTCATGCCTTGTCACCTGGATTGCTGTCGTCGCCGTACAAAGTGTGAACTCGGGTTCAATACGTTAGTCTGGAGCTTGGAATCCCCACGATTCACGACGTCGTGAATTATTTTTGCTTCGATCGACCTTTTGCAGAACAGTGATTTCGAAATGGACGCCGTTCCAAGCAGCACTGCAGAGGTGTTCGAGAATACACGCTTCAGCCATGTTTGCTCGTGTGTCTCAGCTATTTTGGTGTGTTCTGGCGTGCAAAGCATTCAGGTATACGCAGAGGGGTCAATGCAATATAACTATCGCGAATGAGCATCAGCGGAGAAATAGAATGCGCTTTCCGCTTGTCATCTTCTGTTTTGCACCTCCAGATGGCCCCACCTATCCAGCCTCTCGCGGTTAACATGGTATTACCACTTTGGGACACAAAGTCTACAGATGAACTAAAATTCAACGATACCTGCGTGTTGCTTGTTAGCGATGATATCTGACTATACGCTCTTGCACTTTTATAGCTTGTGGTCGTGTTGTGTGTGACACATACGTGACATGAAAAGACACCCTCATTGCGCTTTTTCCGTGCTTCGAACTAGACGACTGCAACTCACCTACAACTCACAACAATTCCCCGACATGCTGACCAACAAGCACACGTTTAAGCATGCTCTTTCCTTTTGCCATTCTTTTAAAGGTAGTTTTTATCTTAATAATTTCACGAAATCATTCTAACCAGTGCGATGAAGGTCAGACGTACACGACGAGCCACGGCCGGGCTAGACTGCACCTGCGCCCACTAGCCCAGCCGTGGACGAGCGAGTGCGTTTCTGCACTTCGGCAGCAAGCGGGGCCACGATAAGAACACTCGGATCGTACACGTCATCGCTACTAGAGCATCATCACTCAGGATGGCATTTGTGGAATGTATCACACCGAACACGTAGCACTAGTGTCGATGTTGCAGGGCAGTCTATTTTTCGTTTTTTCTCCTTAGCTTTTCTACGCTGTTTGACATCGAATTAATATAACTTCTCCGCGACAGATGTCGTTTAAATTTGGCCAAGAAGACCTATGCATACCAAGCGATCGAATGATGGGCACATCTCGATCTTGAAATCTGATGTCAGTGCTCCTTTAATGAGGAAGGAAGTGGCCAGGTGCCACTAGTCACCACCTGACAGAAGCGCTTGGACTGCCGGTGCATCCCATGTCTGCGAAATGCGCCGCAAATGGCACCGCATGCGCGGACGACGGGGCAGTTAGCGTAGCCACCACTACCACAGTTGCTGTGATGCCTAGGCTGCTGATTTCTTTGCGTTGTGACTTCGCGCATAGCGTGTGCAGCTCGTGTACATCAAAAGAGTTGACTGTCGGGCGAGTTGGCACTTTGACATACAAACCGTCGTTATGTTGTCGGGCTGTGCTTGTGCGTGTTGATGATGGTGTTGCCGTTGATGGTTTGCTGACTGGTGATGACATAATATCGGAAGTGCTTGAAGAGGGTTAGAATCACTGTTTCGATAATGACATTCAAAATACGCCGACGTGACATCGCATCGTGCAGGAGTACGCCGAAGCCCTTGCTGTCTTCGCAGAGTTCTGCATCAGTTTTCGCAACTGAGAGTGTGCACACCACCACCACATGGGGTTGAAAAAGATCGTTCTAGCCCTAATTGAGATAGGCAGGCAAAGTTGACACCGTTTTTCCTGAAATAAAGGTTTGTCTGTGCCTAGTACATTTTCCTTTTGTTTTGGTGGTTCATTCCATAATCCGGAATTCGTTGAATTCGGATATTTACACAGGTCCCGTGAGATCAGGGTTAACGAGCTTTTACTGTACTTGTCCTGCTAGAACACATGTAAAAAAAAAGACACATCGTGCAATAGTGCTTAATGTGTATAACAAGTCATCCTACATTGCTGCTTCTTTATTTTTGTCCGATAACTCACACATGCAACATTTCAATTGTCAATTTTTTTTTACCTCTCCCGAACTTGCATATTTCGGATATTCGCAGTAGTAAACTTTTTAGAGTCAATTTTTGTGATATTTGTTAGTCGCTTAGCAATAGGTGCATTGTTTTACGATTGATTGTACTGTTTTGTTTTTCTCTCTTATTTTTCATTGTTTGCTTGTATTTATGTAAACCTGAAATCCCGACGTAATGAACTTTCTTTCCTGATTTTCTGAAGTTTGCAGATCAATGTGAAAACGTTTTTATATCTGCTCTCTGTGGATCTTGATGCAAAAAAAAAGCTAGGTGCCATGCCAAAATGCTAACAAAGCAGCTTTCTGCGTTTTCTTTCCACATTTTCTGTAAGAAAAATGCTGAACAAAATTGAATTTGAATAATACCACAATTAAAGAATACACGTCCACAATATTTGAAGACTAAGAGTAATATTTGAAGGAGCCTGTTTAAGCAAATTGGTGTCTAAAAGCATTTTGAGGGTCTTATTCAATATGTCTGGTTTCAAGTGGCCTTGCATATTGAAAAAAGTTTTGCTCTAAGTAAGGTGCTGACGAAAGAATGCTAAATGCAACTTCAGCACAGTACAAGCAGTAGAATAGCACTGTCGCGCTTCATTAGTTTAGGAATACATACAGTCGAATCTCATTATTTCAAACACGCTTGATTCGAACTCACGATGAGGTCCCGTCAAAGCTATGTGTATTCCAATGAGAGAAAACGCCCGGTTATTCGAACGCCCAAGCACTTTTGACGGTTCATTTGAACATACCGCGCTCCGAAAATGCTCTCAGCACCCCACCCAATCCCGCGGCGGCACTTGCGACACCTCAACGCTGCCCGCGAAGGAAATGAAAAGGAAAGAAAAGGCTGCGGTAGAATGTTTGCTGTCTCTCAAATGCCGATCTGCGACGTGCCCGTGTCACGCTTCTCCCTTTTCCGTCCCTGCCACGTAAAGACCCTCCTTCTTCCAACGCTGTGCGAAGAGAGAGAGGAAAAAAAAAAAAAAAAGAAAGCCGTCACTGGGTTGAATGAATGTGTGGTTAAAGGAAACAAAAAAGGCGCTATCTTCTGCAGCCCTCGCCCCTTGCGGGAGCACGGCTATGCGCCTTGAGGGGTTGGGGGGGTCCCTTACCAGCCGGTGCCACGCTTCCCCCTTTCCCTTCCCTGCCACGTAACCCTTATCCTTTCAAAACAATGCATGCTAAGAGAGCAAAAAAAAAAGGGGGGCTGCCGTGGAGTGTTGGTTTCCTCTCAAATACCGATTTGCTTCTCTCGGCGTGGAGACGCTCCTCCTTTCTCGTCACGTGCTGGCCATGCTGCGGCTACATAGAGGAAAGCGGGAGGCTCCGCTACACAGCAGTCGTTGTTGTCATCGTCTTTAGAAAGTGTTGGTGCAGAACATTTCCGCGCGCAACTTCTCTTACCAGGAGAATGATGCTGAAGCCGAAGTAAGAATGTTTTGCAAGCTGCATGCGAAATTGATTGACTCGCTGCAAGGCAAACGCGTGCATACGCGCATCACCGATTACTTCAATTAATAATGGATGTCCTGTGATTTGTGAATAAAAAACTTCCCCCTGGTGTGTTAGCTCAATGCACATGCACCACTGCATGGAGAGCCCTCCCGTTTATTTAGCTTTCATCAATTCGAACTTCTTTTAATTCGAACAAATTTCCGGGCCCTTCGAGTTCCAATTATCGAGATTCCGCTGTACCAAAAAAGAGCAATAAATGTGAAAATGGAGAGCACCTAGTAAAGCACAAGAAGTCACAAAGTCTACTTCTAAATACTAAAGCGAACAAGCCAGAGTGATAAACTAACAAAATGCAAATTTTATTTGCCGACCATACAAAAAATACTGCATTTCTAGCTTGCCTCTATACATTAGGATGCAGTGAAAATGACTAGCAACCACTCTTACAACATGAGGTATTAAAAAAGAAGCTGACTTAATTAGTGTGAGAGAATAAAACAATGGCAGTTACGCCAACACGATTCAACAGGACCTAGACAAACGGCCCTTCCCCTTCTTTATAACGTCAAACTGCATACTGCAAGTTACTCACTGACAGGAAGCCAGAAAATATGGTTATTTTCTATACCAAATAAGGCCCTAAATGTACTCAGTTGTAGCACAGCATGCTAAAGTCTGTTGAGTTATGCATATACTACTTCGATGATAATCAGGCCCATCCTGTGCCTTTGTAGAAAATAAACTGCAAAACTAAGACTTTTCACTGTAAACTCCAACTTCCATTGTTCTCATGCCAACGGTTCCCTCAGTTTTGGAACTAACCAAGTGTCCACGCTTTCTGCCGTGAAGTATTGTAGAGAGAAAGAGATAGTATTACAAGTGTTACTGTGGACGTAAAAGATTGCCTGTGGATTCATGACAAAGTCAAGAATAACTACATGCCCACTTTCTAGCACACAGTGGTCCAAGTGCCCTTAAAGAATTTTTCACTCTGCCCTACCAATGTACTGTCCTCTCCCCTCAGAATATTTTCATTTTTCAATGAGCCACAAACTTTCAGCGATTCTTGCAGGCCATCTCGAAGAACCTCACCTCGTGCAAAGTCGCCACCCCCGCATAAAGCATCTTCATCGTCTTGGGAGTCTCTGTTGCTCACAGGCATCGCAGAAGCCAATATGTCGCCAGCTACCCGACCAGGACAAAAGTCCTCAGGGTCTACATCATCCTGGAATCCAGTGACCAGTGGGTTGCCACCAGAGTCCTCCTCATCGCTGACAAGCAAGGGAAGTCAGAATGATAAGCTTGTTATTTGGCTGGCTTAGAATGCTCAGTAACAGCTGTGACAACTAGACGCATAAAATTTCAGCTATAACTGCTCTCTGTTTACAATACAAACAGAACCCACAGGACCAGCAATATCAAAATAATAAGCTGGAAGCAAGTAAAGAAGTAACTGAACAAAACACACACACGCAGACACGCTCTAAAAACAGCGACGACCCCATTGCCAATGCCAGAATCACATCCGCCAAGGAGGAACTTAAGCAGAAAACAAAGTTTGCCAAGGCCTTCTTCCATAGTGCCGATGTATAGGCATTCCTCAGAAATAGCCTACGAAAAGTTTGGTGTTCTGTCATGCCCATTACTGATTCTGAATCTTCATTTACTATAAAAAATAAAAGTGCAAATGATCCCATGTGCATATCTAATGCATTTAATGAATACTTTCATTCTGTCTACGCATCTGATTTGCAATCATATCCGGTTTTCGACATTTTCATTCAGATTACTCCATTACAGACATTACAATTAGTAATGTCTGTAATGATGTTCTTAATTTGATTTTAATAATTTGATTTGATTTCTAGACATTAAGAAATCTAGTGGCTTGCATGATGTTCCAAACTCGTTTTTACTGCGTTATTCTCAATGAACCTCTCGTAACCTTGCTCTTATACTTAAGAAATCTTTTGAAACTAGTACCATTCCTTCATCTTGAAAGCTTTCAACAGTAATACTATTGTATAAGTCGGGTAGCAAGTCCGACAACACTAATTATAGACCAATTCATTTAACTCCGTATTCATGCAAAATGTTAGAGCATATATTATACAAACACATAATAAATTTTCTTGAGTCAAACCATATTTTAACAAATGCGTAGCATGGCTTCAAAAGTGGTTTCGGCACCGTCACCCAACTAAGTGAATTCACTATAGACATTGCATATAATTTAGACCAGGGCCATCAAATCGATGCACTTTTTATCGACTTCTCTAAAGCCTTTGACACGGTACTACATCTTCATCCTCTGCACAAACTACACACCATCCTGAAAAATTCACACCTGGTTGATTGGATTGCTAGCTTTCTTCATAATCGTTCTGAATATGTCGACTACAGTTTCACAGGTCATCAGTTCTGGAGGTAGGCTCTGGGCTTCCACAAGTGTCTGTTTTCAGCCCTTATCATTTTTAAGTTATATAAATAACCTTCCAGAACATGCATCTTCGAACATTCACCTTTACACAGATGATTGTGCTTTATATGATGCTATTGTTTTCACAGCTCACGAAAAGTGTTTTGAGTGATTCCTTTAACTCGTTTTGTGCTTGGTGTGAAAAATAGAAAGTAAACATTGTTTACAAAAAGACTTTTGTTTTGTACTTTACAAAAAAAGTAATGCCCGTTATTGCAACATACACCTTCAATGGTGCCTCTTTAACCAGAGTAATAGAGTACAAATATCTTGGTGTAACATTCACCCATGATTTTTCATGGTCTATTCACATTGCCTTAACATGTTCTAAAGCCAGAAAGTAGGATATCTTCATCCAACAATGCGGAATGCCCCAAAAGATATTAAACTTTTTATGTATAAATCTCTTGTTCGCCCTATTATTGATTATGCCTCTACGGTGTGGTCATTGTGCAGAAAATGCGATGTAGTCAGACTGGAAGCAGTTCAAAAGGAAGCTGCCCGTTTCATTTTTCGCAGGTACGACCGCTACTTCTCACTGTCTTTAGCACTACATAAGCTAAACCTAGAACCTCTTTCTGTACGTCGTGATGTAGAATCATTAAAATTTTTGCACATCATAATCAACCATTCATATCGCATTTCAAATACAGCCTTTTTGTCATTTTCCAAGCCTTCCCCCATGTGTAAATTCCACGAGCTCAATCTTGCTACCTCTTTTGCACGCACAAATACATTTAAGTAGTTTCTTTCTCAATACAACAAAATTATGAAATTTTTTACCTGGTCACACTCGATCACTCCACCTAAATGATTATGTGACTATTACTGTTGAAAATCATTATATAACAAGACTTTTCATGTATCTTCTCTGTTGCATTTTTTTGTCTGCACTCCATAATCCCACTCCTGCAATAGCCGTTTTACAGGGCTGCAGTATATAAAATAAATAAAAAATGTGCAAGCATGCATGCACACACACAAGCAGACACACAAAATACAGAAAAAAAGAAATGCCAGTAAAGCAAAGTTTCAGCTGCCATTTCCCAGGCTTAACTAAATTAAGAAGTTGTCCTAATCATTTCATATGATTTATAAAAAGACATCGTAAGGCAGGTCATGCGCTAAATCTGCTATGCCACTTTTGTCGCATCTCATAATAAATTTGACTGTTTAATGTCCCAAAACCACGATATAATTGTGAGGAACATCGTAGTGGAGAACTACAGAAATTTCGACCACCTAGGGTTCTTTACTGTGCACCTAAACCTAAGTACACGGGCCTCTAGCATAAGATGCGGCCACTGTGGCTGGGATTCGATTCCACGACCTGCAGGTCACCAGTCTAGTGCCTTAGCAACTAGACCTCTGTGGCAGGTATCTTATCTCAGAAGTAGTCTGTACAAGAATGTTTTTTTAGCTAACAACATAACAGAACTTCTTCTCACAAGCTGCTATTAAGCTCAGACTTGACCGATTTGCCTTTCAATACCATTTCAATGGCTATAACAGATATGGCAGCGAATGTAAGATTAATTTTAAATATTTTGGGTACTTAAATATGCACTGCTTTACAGTACATAAGAATTTCACAACCAGCTTTCACTACCACTCAGCTTGCAAGCATGCACATAAGTTGCAGCCTGTGAAGCCAACCATATGTGCAAGGTGTTCACCTGGCACTTTCTTCTTCAAGCGCAGATGGTACCGCAGCACCTCCGTCAGCATCACGCTCCTCTAAAAAACTGTTAAAGCTTGCATCCCCGTCTGGCACAAAGTCATCAACATTACGCACTGCCATGGTGTAAGAGCTCATTGGTGGTGGTGCATGGACATCAGCTTGCACCA